AGTTACATTGCTATTGTTTTATTTAAACCACTGGGCAACATTCCAAGTGCGGTATTGTTGTGGGACTAATAATGGTTCTGTGATGAAGTGATTTTAAAGTAAAAAATTCTCATTTTTGCTTCAGTCTGAGCCTGGGGTCCGTTTTTGCACACAGACCCATCAGCACAATGGATTTCTGCCAAAACTATGATAGTACAACCTCCCTCAGCTGTAGGCCTACTACAGTAACCGCATATACACAGTCTTTATATTATGATCTACACTTACATCTTTATATTGTTGAAGATTGTGTATATTGCAGTGTAATGATGTAACACATGTTGACTTAACAGCATTTCAGCACGGGTTATTAAAGGTTGTATATGAGGTTTTGTGGTCGGAATGTACTTGCTATGTAACGATACAGTGGTGTAATGGTGTCCAGAGCAAAGAATGTCCACACTCCTTCTGTCTGTGTTGTATTTAAAGCTTCTCTGTTCTTTGTCTGTCTTAGCTGTTTGCTAGCAGTATACCAAACATTTAATTGAAACCATGAAACCATAGCTGCCTAAAGCAAAATGTTATTAATGTTACTAAACTAACACTATACCTGTGTGTACTCACCTCCTTACCTGACACTGGAGAGGGGTATGGCCGACCCATTTACTTGTTTTGGTCTGAGATGCTGGTACTCTGTTGCTACGTCTAGTGGTTCTGAATAAAGAGTTATATACTTATTAGCATATTAGGTTTGTTTACACAATTATGTTTGTAAAAAATATTGTGAAACAGGCCTATAGTTTGCATTTTTACTGAAGAAACACATAATGCTTATTCTTAAATCCACAATAAAGTCAAACTTGCAATTAATCTGGTTCAAAAATCACCACAAGTGTTTAATTTTAACTTTCACATTCTGGAGACATTATTATTTTTCAGATCATTCATAGAAAAGTCTGCTCAACCATCACCATCTAAAGGACAAAGTGCTCATTCTCTCTGTAGAGGTCTTGGACGACACATTTAGAATGGTTCCTTTAATAATTTATCCTGGCTTCTTCCAGGAAGCAACGCTATCTGGCCACACGCTGGATCGATGGAGATCAAAAGACCGTGTTTGGTCCTAAATGCAATCCTATCCTGAATCTGCACCAGCGAGGCTATTTTTGTGCCAAGCCCTGTGGCTGACTGGCTGGCTGGCTGGCTAGTCTGTTTAAAGAGTAACAAAGAGGTTAGGATTAGAAATTTGTCATTTAGGCTGTCACCTAAAACATGTTGAATTTTAATGTCTGTGCCTCCTTTAACCCTGACGTACAGCTCACACTCACCACACACATCCATGTGACCCTGTGCATGGCATAATGTTTCTGAAGGAAAACAGATACTTTTAAGGAAAGTTATTTTTTGCCTTTGCAAGGAAGTATTTCTTGAGTCATTGGTTTTGATCAACTACCTCATTAAGTCCCTGCAGATAAATTATAGTTAGTTGCTGCTGTGAGAGAGTGAAAATCTTACTTATTGCACCATTAAGGTTCATTTGAGTTTTGCATGTTGTAAGATTTGTCAGCCAAAGGAGGTTCAACAGTTGTAATATGCCCTCATGCCAGTTTCAGCTCATGACATCTCATTTGGAGTTTTTCAGAAAGGTAATAGTTTTATTTAGTCTTGGATCCAATATTTAAGGATGTCTATTGTCATCTGTTTAGTGTATGTGTGTGTGATTGTGCATGTGTGTGTTGTGACATCGCGGAGACACCTGTTCCAGTCTGTAATTCAGCAGTGATGGGGACGGCGGAGGGCTTTGACACGCTCCGTCGACATGACAGCTCAGACAGCATGGATGTTAATCTCTTCTAACTGCTCCCAGCCTAATTAAATCTTCCAGGGCAGCACACATGTGCAGACACATGCACACACACACACACGCACACACACACAAATACACACACACATACACACGTTCTAAATTGGTCCTGGTTGTGCGTAAGTTTTAACGATCTAGAGAATTGACCCACAGCAGTTTGTGTGATTCTAAGTCTATGAAACGTGTGTTTGTGTGTGTGTGTGTGAGAGAGAGAGAGAGAGAGAGAGAGGAGAGAGAGTGAGAGAGAGAGAGAGAGAGAGAGAGAGAGAGAGTAGGAAAGAATCAGAATCATGT